CCCCAAAACCCCAAAACCCCAAAACCCCAAAACCCCAAAACCCCAAAACCCCAGGTTTAGTCATGAATATTGAATAAATATAATAAGAAGTCTATGTAGAATCTGATGTGACTTCTAGTCAGATTCTAAAGTGACTGGGAGCATGAAGAGATTTAGGGGGTTGAGATGATGTGGAAAAAGAGTTTTGGGAGGATTTGAGTGGTTTTGGAGGAATTTGAAGGGTTTTAGGGATTGAAAAGGAGGTACGAGATTGGGTATAAGGGGGTGTTTTGGGGTTCAGAGGTATTGGAGGAAGATTTAGAGGCATTCTGAAGGAACAGGAAAGGTTTCTGTAATCTTAAACATGTTTACTAAGATTATTAGATTTTTTTCAGTTGAAATTTTACACAAAAAAACTGAATGAACTAAAGAAATATTATTTAAAATTTTTAAGAGTCGATTCATCCTCAAGTACAATTGCAGAATTCTTTTTCTCAATCTTCTCAACTGAATTTCTAATGGCTTGGTGAATCTTAACCATCATGAAATGGATCTCTTCCACATTCTCCACTTGACTTGTGACGCTGCCAACAAGATCGAAGAGAGACTTATTTGGGTTGATTTCAGAGTTCATACTTGACTATAAATAAAACTTATGAGAATCATAAATACCCAACTAAGGAGAAAAGGTCAGCTCTGAAGGCCTCTTTAAGGAGACTTACACTAATCATAGTCGGAGCATCCTTGCCTTTAGTCTGGGTCTTAATGATAAACTCTGTAGACTTATTCATCAGTCTTGACTTCCTGCTATTCCCTTTAGAAAGCTGTGTTGGCAAATTATTAGCTGAACTGAGATAACTATGCAGTCCTTTGTGCTTTATCTTCGAACGAATGTACGGAAAGGCGTCCTTTTCAGTTAATTTATGCGTTGAATTATATCTCTTGTTTTTCAAATTCGTTTCTTTCGGGTTTGGCAAAGGAGTAATATAGTTTAACTGCAATTTATTTCCCTTAGATTTACTAAATTTCATACCTTTTACCAAGGACCCCTTTCTTCTGATGTTGGTACTCCTGTTGTTAGCCCTATTCGGAGATAAGATTTTCCCAATATTTCTCATCTGTGGGTTACTCCCCTGGCTTGCATGCCTCGAATGTTTTGAGATACCACTAGAAAGTATCTTATCTGTAGTCAGACCATCAAATTTGCTCTTTCGGTTCCCTCTGGTATTTACAGATGCCTGTTTGAGCCTATTGAGGGCTTCCTGGTAATCTTTATTTAATAACTTGCTTTTCTTAAGGCCTTTAATGATCTTTTTGTCCATTATAATAATTATTCAATTGAATTTGAAACATATGGGGTTTTGGGGTTTTGGGGTTTTGGGGTTTTGGGG